GTCTCTACTAAAAATATTAAAAAATTAGCCAGGCATGGTGGCGGGCGCCTGTAATCCCAGCTACTTGGGAGGCTGAGGCAGGAGAATCACTTGAACCCAGGAGGCGGAGGTTGCAGTGAGCCTAGATTGCGCCATTGTACTCCAGCCTGGGTGAAAAGAGCGAAACTCTGTCTGGAAAAACAAAAACAACAACAACAACAAAAAAAACTTGCAGTGTCTTGCAGTCATTTGTGGACATGCATAGAATGGCAAAAAATCTGAGTCACCCACGTGCACATTCCCAGCTGAGGCTGAACAAGGCAACATTCCCTTATTTCAGTTCTCATACTGTAAAAAAGTGTCCTTTTCACAGTATTTTCTCAAATTTTTGTGCTTTTGATTGGTGATTTCATGTTTTAAATGGCCTCCAAGCAGCAGCACTGAAGTGCTGTCTATTGTATCTAAGCACAAGAATGCTGTGATGTGCCTTCCAAAGAAAATATGTGTAAGATATGCTTTATCCAGGCATGAGTTTTAGTGCTCTTGGCCGTGAGTTCAATGATAATGAATCAATAACAGCTATGAAAAAAGGTGGCTTTAAACAGAAACACACATAAAACAAGGTTACGTACTGGTTATATCAGTTATCAACTGACAAAAATGCTGTGAATAGAGGCTCACAAGAACCTAACCCTGTATTTGCCGTAAGGGCAATGCCTCAGTATTCACTAAGTCAGTATTCATGATGAGTTTATAGAACGTAACTACTACGAATGATGAGAATCAACTGCACAAACAAAAGCACATATATTAAACATAGTAGAGCAGTCAGCCAGTGAAAGTAGAGAATGGAGAGATGGACAAAAGGGAAAAAATAAATACATTAAATAAGAAGAGACTTGCACACACCAATTTTAAGGTGCTATGAACAAAGCAGTATGGTAATTCATACTGATAATTCTGAATCTGAGGCCCAAACTAAATAAAAAGTAAAAACAGAGTAACATTCTAGTAAGAGAAGTAATTCAGCAAATGAATGGCCTACCACAGAGATGTGCTTGCAGAGTTCTAAATATAAACAATAAACATAAAACATAAACTAAGAAGATGGGGCTAAGGAATCAGAGAAATGTCTTAAGTTAAAAAAGATTAATATACCTGAGGTACGCTGTGTTTTCCATACTTCCAAAACTTATTCTGTGATAAAAGAGACTTAAATTTCTCCTCCAGAGAATCAAGTTCATTATCAGGTAAAAGGCAAAGCAATTTCTTTAATGCCAATAAGGAACAAGTTACAACCCGGTAGAATTTAGCTTCTCTTTCTTCCTCTGGAACAGTTCTTGATATAAAACAAAATAAATATATTAAAAAATTTAGAATAAGCCAAACTATATATCTGGTAGTTCCATTTTAAAACATTTTATCATTAAGTATGTACCAAAGTTGCTTTATTTCTATCTTCTATTTTCCCTGTGCTAATGACCCTCAAAATGTAAACATACAAAGAAATTTAATCACATACTTTACTACTAACACAAAGTGAAAGTAGATGAAAAGCCAAGGCTTGCGATAAGTGAGAAAGTATACTGTTCTTAGTAGCATGTACAAAGGTGATCCCAGGGAATGGATATCAAGCCATCTAAGACTATTTTCCCTCAAGGACTCTTAAAACCTTAATTAGAATATAAAAGTAAACAAAATACTTTACTACTCTTTCAACAGAACTATTTATATTCTTCAACTATGTTCAACCAGACCTTAAACTACTTCCTCTTACAACTGTCAAAAAGTAAATGCAGGAAACATATACAAATATCTCTTTCTAATACAACCAAATGTGTAGCTCCCAGATAATTCAAGTTAAATAGCAGGACAGCTTGCAAGTAAAAGCACTTAATACAGCATCTCACATATAGCATTATATTATTTTCATCTCTACATATATTATTCCTTCTTTTTAAAAATGTCACATTGGGCCGGGTCCAGTGGCTCATGCTTGTAATCCCAACACTTTGGGAGGCCAAGGCAGGCGGATCACTTGAGGTCACAAGTACGAGACTAGCCTGACCAACATGGTAAAACCCCGACTCTATGAAAAATATAAAAAAATTAGCCAGGTGCAGTGGTGCATGCCTGTAATCCCAGCTACTCGGGAGACTGAGGCATGAGAATCACTTGAACCCAGAAGATGGAGGTTGCAGTGAGCTGAGATTGAATCACTGCAATGCAGCCTGGGCGACAGGGTGAGACTCTGTCTCAAAAAAAAAGTCACAATGAAATCATCTGATTACTTATGAGTAAAATAAATCCTCAACATGAGTTACAATGAAATAATACAACTTACTGCGGGTCACTGAGTGTATCAGGTGTTTCTTTTATAAGATGATCCTGCAGCACCTACAAAGGGAGTAAAATACCAAAGCCTTTGGTTTTATTGAATTGTCAATGGTGAACAGACAGAGCCTAGTTAAATAAAATCCATTTTAAAAATCCCCATAAACCTCATCTTACCTAAGAGAAGAATCAAATAGCAAAACTGAAAGGTATGAATTTTACCAATTTTTCTTTCCTTATCAATTCCCAAGGTTACCTGCTGTTGGAATAAAAAGGATAGATACTTCTTCCCCACGCAACTATAAATACTCCTGACCACTTGTTCCTCCAATTATCTTGCACACAGCAATGAAGTGAATGTGAATCTGGGAGAGAAATTAGGCTCTGCTTTCCTCTCCCCTCTTTCTGTAAGCCTGCTTGCCCACAAAGAACGCCATACATTGTGCTCTGCTCCATCACAGAGGAAGGTATGAGGTTTTCAAATGTGGAGAAGTCTGTTTCCTCCTGGGATGTAACGCAAGGGAGTCCACTGTTCCAGGAACTGCTTTATCAGCATAAATAAGTGCAGTAACAATAACTAACACTTATTGAGCTTTTGCATGTGCCAGGTATAGCTTTGAGCACATTTCAGGCATTAACTAAATTAATCCTCTTAACTCCATGAAGTACAAGTTAATTCCTGCTTTATAGATTACAAAATGAAGGCACAGAAACTTGCCCAAGGTCACACACCTAGTTGCTAGCTGATGGCAGAGTGGGACTAGAACTAACGGTGTGACCCAGAGCCCATGTCTTACAGACAGTATGATATACTATCTATAATGCTGACATTTTTATTTTCATTTAATAAAATGAAAATAAACTCCTCTCTAATACATGGGTTTGGAACTTGAGACAGTTCAACGCCAATAGCCATAATGAACTGTGACATAGCCAACTAAAGAGAAACTAAAATGCAAGAAATAACCCATATGTTCAATAATCAATTATCCATCCATGACAAAGCCAAGAACAAATTTATTTTTTAAAGCCCATGAAGAGCCAAATTAGTTGTCTCAAAATTCATTTCCTAAAGCTCTTAGTGTCCAAACTCATGACACTTCACTCTTGTAACATTTATGACTTGGCATTTTAAATCAACCAATGATTCTTAAGTTACAGATGGGTTAGAGAACTCCATTTGAGCCTATGATTAAAGCTACAAACCATCTCCCTAGAAAAATACACTTGGTACACCTGAGAAATGAAGAATGGAAGAACCTAAATGGGGTACTAGAATTAAGTAATGTGTCGGGAGGCTGGAAGTGGTGGTTCACGTCTGTAATCCCAGCACTTTGGGAGGCCGAGGCGGGTGGATCACGAGGTCAGGAGTTCGAGACCAGCCTGGCCAACGTAGTGAAACCCCGTCTCTACTAAAAACACAAAAATCAGTCGGGCGTGGTGGTGGGCGCCTGTAATCCCAGCTACTCAGGAGGCTAAGGCAGGG